TTAAATACCTTGACCAGTCTGCACAGCACAGCAGTCGATGCATGGATTTTGTTCCTGGCACTGCAACCTAGTTTGGAAACTGTATTGACATTTATTTTAACTAAAGGAAATAAACTGGGAACACCATCGGCACGGGAGTGGAATCCCAGCATCCAGGGGGAAGCCTACAAATAGATAAACATTGACAAGCTAACACGTGCCACAACAATAGTATTTTTTTTATCGCATTAGTCCTTTGTTCTCACAGACTTTATAGGAACTTTTACAGCAACCAACAGTTCTTCAGATTATACCACTTAATAACCCATGTGCTTCATGCATGAGTGGACTTGTTCAAGTTAATTTGTCCTCTTGAGATAAGCAACATTCATTCAGCATAAAAATGAGGTTTTATAATTTCCTGCTCTGTTCTGAGGAGCAAATTACACGAACCAAAGAGCCAATGCCCTACAACCCGAGGTCGTAAACTTTAGCTTTAAAAAGTGTGTTGCTGAGATTTATTTAAAAACTTGAACAAAAAATCTCATATTGGACTTGTGAGGAACAGATCCAAAGTGTTTTAATGTTGAGTTCCTCATTTTCTTACTTTGTACAACTTTTACAGAAATGGAAAAGTAAATGCTTAGGGCTGTTACAAGACAAACCAAAACACAAGATTTTAAACACAGAATAGTATCAACTTCAGCTAAAATGTATTTAATAGTGTATTTTCTGTATATTATTCTTGACATCATTACTGTGACTCTGGCTGACGTTACCACAAAGAACCTCAACTTATGTGGAGTGACCACTTTCAGCTCTTCATGAATAATTTGTTTCTTAGAGCCATCAATTTCCTCCAGCATGACAATCTGTCTGCAGGGAACAAATAGCCACATAGTGTTCATTTTACACCAATGCAATACACCAGTGAAATGTCCAGGCTTTGTGGATGAATAATGATGGATAATGAGGGATATTACTCTGTGAAACGACACCTGAGCTGCTCTCATCCATGGGTTTATAAGCACCTGGAGGGCTTGAATAATGTTAAATACTTCAAGAACCGAGGGTGATAAATAGAAAACTGTGCCTGCAAATATTTCAAAAGCATTTTAAATTATATATATATATATATATATATATATATATATATATATATATATTTGCTACAGAAATGAAAGCAGATGTTTTAAATGAGGTATCTTTTCAGAAATAAGTGCATGCTATAAAAGTATTTCTAAAATAATCTGAGGAAACTAACGTATTACAGTTTACAAGTCGATTATGAATGCAGGCATCTTACTGGCATCCCAACAAAAACATAAACACAAGCGACATCCGAGGTCGATGTGAGCTTCTATGCACCCCCCCTTCTCGCTGAGCACTGCTAAGCACAATGAAGTAGAGCAAATTACTGTATATTTACATGGAAAAACAACAATAGAGCTGATCCACTTTGTGCAGAATAGTCAGAATCAGCACATTACGCCATGCAGAGCAGCAGGCTGATAAACAGTCTGCACACAAAACAACCACTAAACCAATCCACCCAGATCTTCTGTCGAACAAAACAGGTGCATCTTTTGTCTTATTCAGGGAGTCTGCAGGCAGGTTAAAGGAGAAGCCTACATCATATTTTAATGCATATGTGTTGCTGACAGGTCTCTTTATTTTAAACAGAAAAGCTCGTTAACTGATTTAGGGATCACCACAGAATGTTAAACCTCTTATATTAGAAAAGTACCACTGTGAGAATACACTTAAAACAAAAACTAAATGTTATAAAAAATATTAAACTGTGTAGACTGCTACTAACAAGTGTGACAAGATAATTAACCCCTACAGCTATCAATCAGGAAGCAAAGGTAAGTATGAACGATTCATAAACATCTAAAGGTTATATCAATCAACCTTTATTTCTACAGGTAAATCCCATTGAGCCTCGAGGACTCATTTACAAGAGAGACCTGATTATATATTATATATTATAAGACACTGTAAAGATATTAAATTGAGCTGGTAGATGAAGTCATATCAATCTGTTATGATGCAGACACAAACATGGTTTCTGTGTATTTAGAGAACAGGCCTGCAGAGGATGTTTCTGCTCTGGAGTGGATGCACCTTACCTTTCTGGAGGCACTTTACACTCGAGCTGAAAGTCCAACCCATCAATCCATGGATGCTTTTCTTTTACACTTGCTGACCAGATTTAAACTCCCATTCCTTTCTCGTCACAGAGAAGTGCGATTTGAAAACGGTTTTCCAGAAATATTAAACACAGGAACAGGTAGTCACATTTTCTGAGCGAAGATCAAAAGAAAATCAAGTTAGTCCTGGATGTCCATTGCGAAACGGGTGTCCTACAAATATTACTTTCTTCAATAAGACCAGTGAGCCTGAAACACTTTAATAAATCCGACATCTGTCCATTTAAAGTCCATTTAAACTTTCCACGCAGTAGATGTTTTAAGCACACAGTATCCTCAGTCCAAACTAGTCCCTAAAGTGCCTTTAAGCTTAAAGTTGGTGGTATAAAAGCGCAGAAAGGGTTTCCCGTCGACGCAGTCCGCGTTTATCTTCAAACAGGCGCAAAGACGCAGAAGAGCGCAGCACGTTAAGTTGGAGGAGCGCTGTTGTTGATCCCTTCCCTGTAGGGTCCCTCCTCCTGTTACCATCATCCCTCCTACTGCCGCGCCAGCTCCCGTCACGCTACACTACAAAAAAACTACTTCCTGTTTAAACCTTCACAATAAGACATTACTTCAGGCGCCATTTGTTAAAAAATAATCTTTTAGGTAAACATTTAGTCTAATTGCTAATGTATTTTTGCATTTTCACTGTTGGATGTTACAACTACAACAATTGCAACTACATTTACTACTCGTCAAACAACATAGCAAAACTAAAAACGTTGAATAGTAAAATAATTTAAAAAAAGAAACACAAACACAAAACCTATCAGATGTGTCCCTTCCCATGGACTGCATTTAAAATGTTTAAACAGGTACAGGACAAAATGGAAACATGCATTAACGGACATTTTCCTTCAGTTGTGCTTTGCTACAACATGTCAAAATTGATAACAAATTTAACATTTCACAATAGTGTTTTGAAATAAACTTAAAATGCATTCTAACCAACAAAAAGCTATTACAAATGGATAACAAAAAAAAAGCTTTTATGTTGAAGGTACAACGGTCTATTTCCGTTATGGCCCATCAGTCTCTGCGCTGCTTAACGAAGCTCGTACCTTAGCGCCTCAAAAACAAAAGCTTTTCAGTGGGAAAGTGACTGAATGTGTTAAAAGGCGCATACATAAGTGTGACAAATAAAGTACACCATCCAGCCAATGTTAACATATGCGCCCTACGGTTTATCACACATAAAACAAGCATAATCTATTTCCTTAAATACTATTCTGACATCTAATTTTTCTACAGTGTTATACATAACTATACTTTGTTATAAACACCACAAAAGGCCACGTTTATCTTTTAATTCTGGCACAAATTATAGTCTGTTTGTCAATTAATTGTACAACAATAATAAGGCCTTAATGACACTTGAGCTAACAGTTAGCTTTCTCGCTAAAGGTGAGGCTAAGCTAGCAGCGTAATATTTTCAGTTCGTCCTACACAAAGAAAACACAATTTTAAGTTTAAACATTTTTATCTATAGGGGTTTCTGTTCAGACTTCCCCCTAATTTCTTTTTTCATTAGAAGAACAAAACCCACACTGAACAAGTTTTCTTAACTCTATATTAGACCTCAAGTTTAGCAGTTTTTAACCCAATCCGTTCAATGAGCATTTTGTACAAGGTTGATACTCCATCAGGTTTTAAAAGTATCTTTCTTACCTCAAAGTCAAATCTTTACATAACTTGTTAAAAAAAAAGCTGCATTTGAATTAGTAATGACTTTAAAACGCTAATTGACTGTTGTGGATTTGGTCCATCCATCCATTATCTTTTACCCGCTTCTTCAGCTTCAGGTCCCGTTACTATTTAAAACAGCCAATCAGCGGACAGACGTGTCACCACCAGGGGGCGCTGTGCGTGAAACCACCGAGATAAGAAATAAAAGAAAAATAAAGGTCAATAAACTATTTTCTTTGTTTGTGGCCCTCTCAAGTACTACATCTCAATACTGCGCATACTAAAATGTCCAAACAATTTGCTGAGACAGTAAATCGACTTTAATCTATTAAAAATTTTAATAAAAACGCACAATAATTCTGTTTTCTGTAGGTTTTGGGTACGAATGGACACCAAAATAAATAGGAATCATTGAGGAAGTAAAACACGTTTCTGAGCTGATTTAAAGTACATAATCTGATCTGACTAATACCATTTAGTAGTAGTTTATTGTTGCTATCTGATCAAGAGAACTCATTTATTAGTAAGCAAGCATCCTTGAATTATCCCGTTAGTAAGCAGCAGGTTGCAACGGTCTGAAGGGATTAAAAAAGTTTGTTTTCTACTAGAAGCAGGATTTACACAAGAAAACATCCTGCAATGCAAACTGAGGTTGCAGCTGATCACTAAGATACATTAAAATCTGTTGGAATGATAAGATGACCGATGAGGGAAACGGCTGCTGTTTAAGATAACTCACAGACCAGGTGCACCATATGGAGAGCAAAGGATCAAAATTAATCACATGAAATCCTCCAAGAAAGAACAAATCTGAAGAGTAAGAGGAATTAACTGAGGGATAAAGGAGAACCAAGCTAAACAACACTGATCATATTATTAAAAACAAGATTAACCTTTTAATAAACATTAGCGATCTGCTAGGACTCAGAGCTAATGCACAAACTGTGACATGTTACTAAGAGATACCCATGATTTTATAATAAAAATGCAGGTTAAATGGTTGTACATAGTTTATGCAATAAGGCTACACATGTATTACACAATAAAAATGACAATAAACATGCAATTATCATTTTAATTATTATATAAGCTAGCCAAAACAAATATACAAATCATGCAACATAAGTTGGCACTCTGGCTTTAATAATTAGACAAAAAACTGCATGAAACACTGAAGTACTGATTAAACCTAATTTTTCTCATCTGTTTTGTCCTTAGTACAGATAATAAAAGAAAAACAGGGAACATTTGGTGTGGTTCAGTCATCAAAGTCTGGGATGTCATCATAGGAGTAGCCCGGGTAGCCCTTTGATGCATAGTAAGCAATTCGTAAGTGGTAAAATCCAGGCAGGAAGACAAGAATCCCAATGATGAGGACAGGCACGGTTCGATCTGTGTGCTGACAGGAAAAAAACAACTTCCTTTTTAGTTGAGAGTATTTATTTCAATACTATTGTATACAAAATTAAATTAAATAAAAGACCGGCCTTGAAAGAAATACTCACAGTGACTCCAAAGTATCCGGCCAGGAGAAGAGAACCAATGATGATGAGGAGAGAGCCGATTAGGAAGAGTACCGTGGCGAGTGCTATGGCTTTGTAAGGGACTTTGGGTGGGCTCCTTTTGAACTGCGGGAGAAAAAACACATCAAAAACCTTTCTCTGGTTCACATTGTAATCAACAAAAAGTTTGATGTCTCTCAAACTGCCTTAAAAATAAAAGTTCCTGCAGCAGTGTGAGACTGCGAGACAGATAATGAACGATAAAGGAAACTTTACGAAACTTGATTTAATGTCAAAACATATGGAAATGAATGGAAATCTCAAAACAACAATGGAAACACCAGACTCATGTTTGTGCTGATGTGTTCACAGCTGTGGGCTTTTAGGATTGTGAGATCCATCTGATTCCCAAACATATTTTTGGTATCCTGTTTGGGTCAGCAGTTTATTACAGTACTTTGAAATGTTGACATTATGCACTCCGATACAGCAAATTTTTTTATTTTAAATTAACTAAAATGTCAAAATGTGTTTACGTTTTAACAAAAAATAAACAATTTTCTTTTTACACACACATTTCAGTTTACTAATTGCTCTAATATGCCACTAATAAAAGCAGTTTTCTAAAATTCTGGAGGATGTTGTTTGTTTATATATATATACAGGTCCTTCTCAAAAAATTTGCATATTATGAAAAGTTTCTCTAAACAAGCTATTAACCTAACCATCTGAATCAACGACGTAACTCTAAACACCTGCAAAAGATTCCTGAGGCTTTTAAAACCTCCCAGCCTTGTTCATTACTCAAAACCGCAATCATGGGTAAGACTGCTGACCTGACTGCTGTCCAGAAGGCCATCATTGACACCCTCAAGCAAGAGGGTAAGACACAGAAAGAAATTGCTGAAGGAATAGGCTGTTCCCAGAGTGCTGTATCAAGGCACCTCAGTGGGAAGTCTGTGGGAAGGGAAAAGTGTGGCAGAAAACGCTGCACAATGAGAAGAGGTGACCGGACCCTGAGGAGGATTGTGGAGAAGGGCCGATTCCAGACCTTGGGGGACCTGCGGAAGCAGTGGACTGAGTCTGGAGTAGAAACATCCAGAGCCACCGTGCACAGGCGTGTGCAGGAAATGGGCTACAGGTGCCGCATTCCCCAGGTCAAGCCACTCTTGAACAAGAAACTGCGTCAGAAGCATCTCACCTGGGACTGCTGCTGAGTGGTCCAAAGTTATGTTCTCTGAATACAGTAAATTTTGCATTTCCTTTGGAAATCAAGGTCTCAGAGTCTGGAGGAAGAGAGGAGACACAGAGTTCACATTGCTTGAGGTCCAGTGTCAAGTTTCCACAGTCACTGGGGTTTCATGTCAGCTGCTGGTGTTGGTCCACTGTGTTTTATCAAGGGCAGGGTCAATGCAGCTAGCTGTCAGGAGATTTTGGAGCACTTCATGCTTCCATCTGCTGAAAAGCTTTATGGAGATGAAGATTTCATTTTTCAGCACGACCTGCTCACAGTGCCAAAACCACTGGTAAATGATTTACTGACCATGGTATTACTGTGCTCAATTGGCCTGCCAACTCTCCTGACCTGAACCCCATAGAGAACCTGTGGGATATTGTGAAGAGAAAGTTGAGAGAAGCAAGACCCAACACTCTGGATGAGCTTAAGGCCGCTATCGAAGCATCCTGGGCCTCCATAACACCTCAGCAGTGCCACAGGCTGATTGCCTCCATGCCACGCCGCATTGAAGCAGTCATTCATGCAAAAGGATTCCAGACCAAGTATTGAGTGAATAACTGAACATGATTATTTGAAGGTTGGCGTTTTATGTATTAAAAACACTTGTCTTTCATTGGTGGGATGAAATATGCTAATTTTTTGGGACAGGCATTTTGGATTTTCATGAGCTGTATGTCATAATCATCAGTATTAAAACAATTAAAGACCTGAAATATTTCAGTTGGTGTGCAATGAATCTGAAATATATGAAAGTTTCATTTTTATCATTACATTATGGGAAATAATGACCTTTTTCACAATATGCTAATTTTTTGAGAAGGACCTGTATATATATATATATATATATATATATATATATATATATATATATATATATGAGATAAATTAAAACAAGTTCAGGTTCCACAAGTACATAAAACAAAAAGGGCTTTGTTTATTAAAAAAAAAAGACTGCACAGTGATGGCTGGACATGGCACCAGTGACCCCGGCGACGTGAAAAGGAAGAAGCGGGTCAAGGTTGAATGAAAAAGATCAAATATGGATGTATCAGCTGCGGTGAATATAAACTACCACGTAGTAACTTAATAACAATGCATAGTCCTGCTTGCACACAAAAAATAATAATCTCAGGGTTGTTCTCATAAATGCCCATATTTATTAACATATAACTTTGATAAATGATAAAATAATTTATTAAAAATATTATTATTAAATTTGATAAATTTTCATTGTTATGCTGATGATACAATTATATTTGTCCATTAAACCCAATGAATCCAATCAGCTACTTAGACTACAAGCATGTCTTAAACCATAAAAACCTGGATAACCCTAAAGTTTCTGATTTTGAACACAGACAAGACTGAGGTTTTAGTTTTTGGACCTGAGCATCTTAGGAATACATTTAGCAGCCTTTCTCTCTAATGTTCAGCTCTAATGTTAAAAACCTTGGTGTTATTTTCAATCAGGACATGTCTTTTATCCCCCACTTTAAAAACATTACTAGAACTACTTTCTTGTATTCGTGATTATTTCTATCTTGACATGTGTTTTTCGTCTTTCCTCGTCTTTTAGAAAGTACATCTGGACCTGTCATTCTGTGTTTGTCTCTCCTTCCTGTCCTCTCAAACACGGCCAGCTGAAGCAGATGGCCGCTTGTCCTGAGCCTGGTTCTGCTGGAGGTTTCTTCATGTTAAAAGGGAGTTTTTCCTTTCCACTGTTGCCTTTGTGCTGCTCAGGGAGACTGCAATGATGTGAAGATTCATCACAATCTGCTGGCTTCCTTAGAAATATAATGTTTACTAATTGGCTTTTTTATGTATGTGAAAGTTTTTTCCTGAGAAAACTTCTGTTGTGACTTGGTGCTAAAGAAATAAACTGAAGTGAAATGGATAATTTCATAAAGACTACAGAAAAGTGTACTTGTACATACAAAGGCTTGTCGCAAAGTTTTTAAAATAGTACATATGTTTGATTTTGTGGAACAAAGATAGAAAATGTTAAGCTACTCTTTCTGTAAAGTTTATCAAAAGCTGATTAGTGACCTGTGTGAACAGGTAAGAGTCAGTCTTACCTGTAAATCGATGTAGCCGTCATCGTCTGTGGCTAACCTGGAGTACCTAACCGAGCTGTTTGGAACATCCTGGGACACAATATTTCGAGCAGGCATCTTCCTCAGCTGCTGTTGGGAGTTGCTAACAGTTTATCTGTTACTGACTGCAGTCGATGCAAGCAGGATATATAATCTACACGAGCATTAAGAACGCGGCAGCCATATTTGGAATCCCTTGCGAACTGTCACTGCTAAAATAAAGTAAAATATTGCGCTTAAACCGAAGCAGAAGGTCTACAATTTTCCAGAACACGTTTCAGAGAGAAGACAGCAGCAGCGACTTGTTGTTTAGTCGGTCTCTTCCGGGTTGAGCCACTACGATGATGTTGTGCGCATGCGCAAATTCAAACTGCCTTTTTTAAGCAGTCGACATTTTAATTTAACACTCTATTTAATTTTTTATCGTTGCATATGCGGTCTCAGATGTTTTTAAGATATTTTCAATATGTATTAATATTATTTTTATTCCGGGGAGAAAAAAAAAAACCCTGCACCATCCAGTTTTTACCACAAGAGGGCAGGGTTGAGTCTTACTGAAATTATCAGGTTTTTACAGCAGCCAGTAAATTTTTCTCATTGTTCAGCATCCAGGACGTCTCTGTGATCACCATGTGTTCTCAGATGATAATGTTTCTGTCTACAGCCAAAAGTCACAATCCTCTTCCAAAAACTGATTTTTGTCCCAAAGAGGATTGACAATAAATGTTTAAACAACTAGTAAAGAACTAGAGAGCTTTAATATGATTTATCAACAATAACTAGTAAACAGGGACATTTGACAAGAAAAGAAGAAGCAGTTTTTAGAGTGGTGGATTCATTTGTCTGACTCCATAGAGTCATCTCTTCCAAAAATCTTTCCAGCAGTCACACAGGGCAATAAGAAGATCTGGGATCTACTGACCATGAAATAAGCAAAACACAAAAAAAAGTCACCTGCAGACAATCGCCCTGATATGAATAATTAAAACTGGACACATAAACAGACAAATACAGGCTCTGCTTTTGGCTGGAAGAGTCGAGCGGGATCATTTTTACAAGAGCTGACCTTGGCTGTGTTGTGTTGTAGTTTACAGCCAAACTGTTGATCTTGACAAAAATTAGCCCTGAAACCATCAACTGTGCTTCATGTGTTTGCTGGTTTGTACTGAGTCCAGTATGAATTGCTATCGCGGTGCACCGCTTATCTGCAATTTATTTTAATTTTATGCACATTTACAGATAAACCCAAGCCTCAAAAAGGCAAAATGGCTCTACCAACTTCATATTTCTGCCATTTGTGTTTTTTTAAACAATTGATTGTGCCAGTAGTTTACATGTTCATATTTCTGTCTTCATTGTACACTTGGCCTTTTGATTCATTAATCGTGACATTTTCATAAATTGTTGCTGCATGTTAACTCTGCTCCCTAGAGAATATTGTCTGTATTATCATTGCATCTTCCTTTTGTGCGCCAAAATATCACCCTCTTATCTGCTCTGGCTTGTCTCTTGGATGTTCGATACCTACACTCAAGGTCAATGCATGAACCGATTACCCCCACTCAGTCTGAATTTAGAAACGTGGCATTTAATTTGTCTGCTCCACGGCCTTGAAACAATCTGCAAGATGCAGTCATTTTACATTCATAAATTCATGAATGGGTTCATCTATCCGTGAGTAAGACCACAGCCTCGTCAGTTTGCTCTCACAGACATGACTTCATCCCTTGTCTGGATCTCTTTGTCTTTTATAGGTTTTAGTCAGATTAGATTTCCTTGCAAATTCTGAGTTTTATGCTGCACACATTACAAACTGCATTGCTGCTCAAGCGACATCTGGAGTGCTGATTAAATAATCAGATAGACATCATTGAGAAGAGGGTCACATTTGTGTGCTGTCATGTTGGATAAACTCTGACACAGGATCATGGAGTCAAGCATCAGAACTGCTGAGCAATCTGCGCCCAGAGGGGGTGTCTACATGAATGTCTGTGCATCAAAAACAGCAGCATTTGCCCCCTCATAACCCTGAGACTGATGCTAAAGAGTATAAGCGCAGCCATAAATTTCCAGTTCATGCTGGAGTTAATTAGGCTTGTCATCATTAAAGCATCTGCAGACAGAACCATCCCTGCAGCCTAATGAAAGCCTCAAGCGTTAAACATGAGCATCATGCCATCATCCCGCCGCTCTGCCTTCCTCGGATTTGATCCAACAGGTTTCATAACGGCCCTAATGTCATAAAGTGGCACATTAGATCAGCAGGTGCAGCTGAGCAGCAACATTTTCTAAGATTAAAACGAGATTTGGGAATTAATGTTCATCCCTCTGTTTAGTATGCTTCAAGTTTTTAGCTAAAAAAATGTTTTACATTTCAAATAATATCCTGACTGACAGAAAAGTTTTGGCAAAATGTTGGATCCTGAACTGTACCTCTTGAATTCCCCCTTAAATATATATATATATGTGTTTTTTAATCTGTGACCCTATGTTTTAAATGCTTTTTATTAATTCTTCAGTTATTATTATTAGTGTTTTGTGTATATACAGTAATATATATATATATATATATATTTTTTTTTTTTTTCTCTTTAATTTACTCATTGATTGTTGTTGTTGTTAAGCACTTTGATAACAGGTTCTGCTTTAAATGTGCTCTATAAATAAAGTTGACGACTTGGCTTGACTACTAGTAGTAGTAGTAGTAGTAGTAGTAGTAGTAGTAGTAGTAGTAGTAGTCCCTCCATACGTCACGATTTGACTTTCGCGGACTCGCTCTTTTGCGGTATTTCCAATGATTGTCAACTTTAATATTACTCACGTGACTGGGACAGTACAAGATAAAAAGTTAACGGAAAAAAAAAACTTCAGTCAGGCGCCTCCATTTTGTAGTTTTTTTTTTCAATAAGCTTATACTGTAAGGCCAGTCCAAATGACTCCCCAAAAAACTACACTCTGCCAAAATGGAGGGAAAGTTTTGCTACGCCAATTTACACCATCTATTTAACTGACAGAATTCATTCATTCATTCAATCTTTATTTATACAGGTTAATCCCATTGAGCTTCGGGGACTCAATAACAAGAGAGACCTGAATTTAACAAAGAGTGATGTCAACAGTGGACAACAAAGACAACAATAGACAATCATAAAGGATGCATACAAATAAAAACTTTTTTTTTTTAATTGGTAGGAAAGTCGCAAATAATCCTGAAGCTTCCTGAGGCTTTATTATCAATGTGGACGGGGCGGTGGGCTTTGTCGGTGCAGGGTAGGTCTGCAGAACAGGAACCGAGCCCGAAAGGAACTGGGCTGCTGTTCTGCAGAGCTGGTGAGTAAAATTTTGCAGAACTGTACAGTACATGCTGTTAACATTACATAGGTTTAAGAGTTTATAACATTGCAAGACTGGGAAGGGTTTGTAAAGCCTTAAAATATATATAAATACTAAAATAAATATAGTATTGCTGCTTCACGGTTTTTCACCTATCCAGGGGGGTGGGGGGTGGAACGTAACCCCCCAATAATTGAGGGACTACTGTATTTTTATGCATTTATTTATTTTTGCAAAAGTCACGTAACACAAAACTGACAATATAATAGATAATAATAGAAATATAACGACTGAACAATGATCGCATATAAGGAATATACAGCTAAAAACAGCAAATGACTTAAACAATACACAAAAACAGCCAGGATCACAACATGGAGTGGTCTGAAGACAGAATCCATGGATGAGTCAACCAAGTTCAATCAATACAATTCAATCAGACCCAGCAAGGCAGAGGTTACTGCCATCAAACAGCTCCAAACTTCACATTTATGTAGTGATTTATGCAACTGATTGCATTTTAAAGCTCTACATTTCTGTCCATTTCACATTAAACACAAATTATACCAAATATTTTATGAAATTCCTGCTGGAATTGATCCCAGGCTGCCCTTGCAATGCTAATGGTCACTACTGCAAATATTTGTACTTTCAAACAACTACAATTTATAATTTTTACTTACATTTACTGTGCATTTATAAACTAGTGGCACAAAGATTTATGTAACAAAGTTTACATTTAAAACTTTGAAGCCTGGAGCTGTTTGAAGACAGTATAGTACTCTCTGGTCTTGGCCGTTAGCTCATCTGCTCCTTCAAAATGACTAAAACATCCCATTAACATCTCATTATCATCAAGGAATCACTTGAATTTTGCTCTTATTATTTTGGCATCAGGATTAGCTGTAAAATGTAGTAGCTTTTTATCATTTTCAGGCTCTTTTAAACACTGATTTCTTTGGCACCTTGAGCGTGTTGGCTAATGCTAGCTTGTTAAAAACAGGCTGCAAGTTTTATTAGTGTATGGTTTGTTGTTAAAGATGATTAAAGCATTCTTAAAATAAACCAGCCATCTCACAGTCATTCCCTCTTCATGAGGTACATTATATTAACCACTTATGTGTTAAAACCACCTTTAATGACTGGCTTCAGCGAGCAGAAACACTGACAAGATTGCCTGCTGTGAATTCATAACCACATCCGAGTCGTGTAAATGATTGAGGATAATTAATTACGGGAGGCTTCGTCAGCTCTGATTGGACCACAGAGCGCTGTCGCTTGGCACAGAACACCAGGAGTCGGTGCCAGATAGTGAGGATGTGACGCTCGGTGCCATTACATGTCATCACCTTCATGATGGCTGCATGACACAGTAATGAGTCCTGAACTCCAGTCTAGGTCCTCTTCTGTCCTTCAGGTGTGAGCCTGAGCGTGGGAGGACAGCTGACTGCTCAAACTCCACCTGAAGAGCTTCGCCGGCGTCACGATGGAAAACTTTTCCTTTGCAACACAGTGTCAGCTCAGATTTTTCATTCAGCTCATGAATAAAAAGGAAAAACAAAGCAGCACGCGGTGACAACATGAAGGCAGCCTTACAGCTAGGTGTCAGAGAAACAGATGAGTTCGTACGAGCTGCAGGATGTTAGCTGTCTTCATTGATCTGCTGCCATGAATGAAATCTGTAGTCCTGTTTTTTTAAGAATTTTACCAAAATCAGAACCACCAGAGGGGAAATCGCTTGATATGCAATTAAGCTGAATGTCACTGTAAATGCCAACAAATTGTGTGAACGCTTGGCTTTTTGTTGACTTTGTGATAGGAAATGCTTATTTCTGTGCAGAGATATCGATTTCAGTGTGTTTCAAACTCAGCTGCGTGTCTGAATGGGTGATTCATGCAGGCTTAATTACTTTTACAATGGCCACCATAGCAGACTCTCACCAGGTCCACTGAAACCAGCAAACACAGAGAAAATGGCATCACCAT